ACGAGGCCCAAAGACGCCGCGTTACCAACCGCAGCTCCCAAAAATAAAGACGCAGATCGACTGGCCTCCTTTCTCCGAAATATAGAGCGGACACCCCCACCACCACCACCCGGTTCGCTGGAAACCTGCTGGGATTTCCCGCTCCCGCTTTTCCAGCTGGGTGATTCCCCGCCGCCGGCAGTGCTCTGCCCTTGCCCGCTCCCGCGCGCCCCAAAATTAGACGGGCAAAACACACGACGGTTGGAAACAGAGAGACGAGGGGAGAAACCCCATCACAGGGTTTGGGAGAGGTTCTTCATCTCTCCCGGTTCCTTCCAGCAGCAGTGGCCAATCGTGCAAACAGTGAGTCCCCACCACCATGTCCCACCAGCATCACCACCAGCATCACCACCAGCATCACCACCAGCATCACCACCAGCATCACCACCAGCATCACCACCAGCATCACCACCAGCATCACCACCAGCATCACCACCAGCATCACCACCAGCATCACCACCAGCATCACCACCAGCATCACCACCAGCATCACCCGAGCTGGCGAGAGCTCTGCCAGGAGCCGGACACCCCAACCAGGTGGCTTCTCCCAGCCTGGCTGACAACCACAGGGATTAATTAGCGAAAACGAATACCCAAAAGAGAGTCAGGGCGAGCAGAGCTAATGGCCACGGAGGCCGCAGGGAGCCCCACAGGGCTGGTTGGGCTTGGCAGCACCCCGACCAGCTGCCGGATCCGCTTTTTAAGAAAAACCATTCTCCTAACACAGATCCTCAAAGGGTTTTGGGCTCAGCCCCGATCACACATCCTAAACACACCCCCCCAGGCCCTTGGAGGGGAAATAGCAGCAGGTACCTTGAACGCACACAGAGGCAGCTCCTGCCCCAAAATAAAACTCTTCCACACACACAACCGTGGCAAAACACCAGCGTAAACCCCTCCTAAGAAAACTCCCCTCTGTCCCCACCACCCTCCTCTTCATCCATTCTTCTGCCCCCCACAGCCCCAAGGCGGAGAGCCCAGGAGGAACCAAA